GCCCTTGGCTGTATCACGCTCAAGTTTTCTGGCATTGTTCACCTGTTAGCTCTCGAAGTTACAGGAATACTCTGGAACGATTAACCAGGCCGGGTGTGACCTCAGGAAGCTCAGACCGTCTTAGCCTTGGGTTGTTGTTAACTTCTCTATGGGCATTTGTTGCTTATGGAAGTTTTATACTTTTAGTTGTTCCAGTACATTAGCACAGTGTGATTGTACTGTGTTCCCATATGCGCCTAGCAAGACGCAGTACGAGTGCAGTATCGAAAGGTTACTAACGTAACCTTGGTTCCCTGAGATACGGGAACGAGTACTGCGTTGCTAGCCGTGCTATGAAGCTGCATGACTCAGCCGTCACTTCGGTCGAAGTAACCTGAGAATCCTGTGGCGAACGCCCACTTATATAGCCAGATGCCCCGCCCATTCTGGCTGGCTTTGGCGGGCTTCGTCGCCATAGGCTCGTGCAGCTCCGCTGCCTAGCCATTGGTTTGTTTTTAATACACTGCACGAACCAATGGCCGGGCAGAGTCACTGTGTGAATGAAAAGGCTTCAGTTCAGGAGAAAAAAAGGCTTTTTTCCAATATGCGTCTAGCAAGATGCAGTCCTCGTTCCCGTATCTCAGGGAACCGAGCTTACGTTAGTAACTGAGTACGTTTCAGTAGGTCTTCACACTCGTAGGTCTTCACACGTGGAGGCTGAACACGAGGGCTGAATGCTTCCGCTGACGCTTCCGCCTCAGCTGACAGACAACAAACAAATACACAGCCACCTGACACTTCAGAGAAAACAGCTGTGGCCGCCTTCTTAAATTAGCACACCCAAAAACCTATAGCAGGGCAATTGCTCAAATCGAAACTGAAATTCGCACTTAAGTGCAGGAACGGAGCAATATACAGTAAATAACAAAAGCTATTTTTTAGCCGACGGCTATTACAAATAAAGTGCAATCAAACATACAAATTACAACGAAAAATAGCAGTAGAAATAGCTAGAGAACAAAATAAACCTTCTTAGCAGCAAGTAACAATTTAAACAACAGATGCAGACACAAAGTATTAAGCAAACACTCACGCGCTCCCGCCTGCTCTGCTGACTGATCGCTTCTCCCAAAGTTTGAGAGTGAACAAGCAGTTTAAATAGGCTACGGTCGCTGTGGCCGCCTTGTTAAATTAGTACACCCAAAAACCTATAGCAGGGCAATTGCTCAAATCGAAACTGAAGTTCGCACTTAAGTGCAGGAACGGAGCAATATAAATAGCAAAAGCTCCTTTTTAACCGACGGCTATTACAAACAAAGTGCAATCAAACATACAAATTACAACGAAAAATAGCAGTAGAAATAGCTAGAGAACGAAATAAAACTTCTTAGCAGCAAGTAACAATTCAAACAACAGATGCAGACACAAAGTATTAAGCAAACACTCACGCGCTCCCGCCTGCTCTGCTGACTGATTATTATTATTATTATTATTACTATTATTATTATTATTTGGGGGGATAACAAATTCATTTAACTAATCTAATAAAGTCCCTACAAGTCCCTACAGTCCCTATCAAGTCTCAAGTAAGTCAAGTCTCAGTGCAAACAAACCAAACAAGTAAAGTCACGGCACCATCAGAAACAAGGATATTTTATTTTTGTCACAACCTTATTTATTTTTACCTCAGAAATTCACTTCCTAGTTATACATTTGAAATAATCATAATTTAAATATTACATTTTGAAAATAGAAATATTAAATTAAATGATATTTTTAAATATGAAATTAAAACTGTCAGTAGGTGTTGGCAAATCACTGTCTTAATGAGTGAGTCAGAGAAGTGTTCATTCAACTGATTCATTTAAAATAGCTGATTTGTTTAGGAACTAGACAAGAATGGGTCACTGAATCACTCTTCTTTCAGTAAAAATGTTCAGTGTGTTGCTCTGAGATGCTGTGGCTGAACTGAACTGTTGGCAGCAGCACTGATATTCTAGAAATATTGCTTAATATATTGTGTGTTATAAAATCAAACTCATACTAAGGCCGTTTTGCCAACATATCTTCAATTTTGGGTGCAAGAGAAATATCACTAATCTATAAAAGGGATATTTGACATTAAAGCACTGATTTGAGAGGCAAATGTCAGAAATGTCATTTATAATTATTTTCATTTAGTGTAAGATTTAAGCTAAGTTTGAAAACTACAGTGACTGGGAGGGGACATGTTCGGTTCAATTAGTTTTGTTGTGGCCACAATATATTAATTCGTGGGATTGTCATATTAACTTGTGGCCATCAGATCACTTTGTCGATGTAAGGACATCCTTATGTCGTGGCCATGCGATGTGAAGTCGTGGCCTCAAGATCCTATAATGAGAGAACAACATCCTTTTATCGTGGCCATGAGTTTAATGCGTAAACAAATCTGCGTGACCATATCAACCAGGGATTCATTTAAAGGGGGGTGATTCTTTTCTATTCCCACTGTATGTAGTTTATGCATGTACTACATACTACATATACAGACTACACATATACTGTAACTATACAATATCTACTTATCTATCTATCATAGCTATTGTTATGTATAATTATAGGATTGTCTAGCAATATATCAACTAATATCGTGATATTAATCGGTATTGTAACTTGAGTCAAGTAAAGTCACCTTTATTTGTATAGCGCTTTATACAATACTGGTTGTGTCAAAGCAGCTTTACAGTGTTAAACAGGAAAATAGTTTGTCAATAATTCAAGAAGTCAATAACAGAGTAATTTTTCAGCTAAATTCAGTTAATTGATGATTCAGTGATGTCATCATGCAGTTCAGTTCTCTTCCAATAGTGTCTGTGCAATCAGTCAAGCGTCCCCAACTAAGCAAGCCAAAGGCGACAGTGGCAAGGAACCAAAACTCCATCGGTGACAGAAATGGAGAAAAAACCTTGGGAGAAACTAGACTCAGTCAGGGGGCCAGTTCTCCTCTAGCCAGATGAAACCAGCATGGCGTGGATTAATTCCAGGCTGCAACACAGGTGCAGAGGACTTGTCTGTTTCCCGTGGTCTTGTGCCGATGGTCATCGAGGTGATGGGGTCTTTACAGGGTCTCCGCTGACATTCAGGGCTGCCATGTATTGTGTATCTTATCGTATCGTGAGGTACCCTCTGATTCCCACCCCTAGAGCGCTGTATTTCTGTGCTTGTGCAGCGTCATGAAGCGCACAGACTCGGATCACTGGTGCTGTTGGTTCAGTGTCTTGCGTTTTGTTTACCAATTTATGTCGCAATGATTTATTTTTAAAAATGAATTTAATTACAGTTATTATAAAGTCAAGTCAAGTTTCACATCATTGGATCTCAAGTCCAAGTCAATTCATGTAATTTATTTTTTTATTTAGTTAAAGATAAGTTCACTTCCAGAATAAAAATGTCCTGATCATTTACTCACCCCAATGTCATCCAAGATGTTCATGTCTTTCTTTCTTCAGTCGAACAGAAATGAAGGTTTTTGAGGAAAACATTCCAGGATTTTTCAAGGGGTTCAAGGGGATCAAGGGGTTGAAGGTCCAAATAGCAGTTTCAATGTAGCTTCAAAGGGCTCTACACAATCCCAGCCGAGGAATAAGCGTCTTATCTAGTGAAACGATCGTCCATTTCTTAAAAAAAATTAAATACTTTTTAACCACAAATGCTCGTCTTGCACTAGCTCGACTTCACACATTACGTAGTCCCGTTAAAAAAGGTCACACGTGATGTAGACGGAAGTACAAACCCAGTGTTTACAAAGCAAACATGCAATGAAAGTCTAATGGCCTTTACAAAAAAGGTAAAACAATGATGTTGGACGAAGTTGGAGGAGAAAATGAATTGCTTTGAACCGGAGTACACAGATGAAGAGCTAACCGCACGAGACCTTTCCAACGTGACTACGTAAAGTCACACATGAGCATCGCAGAGCTAGTGCAAGATGAACATTTGTTGTTAAAAGGTATATATATTTTTTTTTAGAAAATGACAGATCGTTTCACTAGATAAGACCCTTATTCCTCAGATGGGATCGTGTAGAGCCCTTTGAAGCTGCATTGAAACTGCAATTTGGACCTTCGACCTATTGGTCTCTGTTGAAGTCCCTGGGATTGTGTAGAGCCCTTTGAAGCTGTACTGAAACTGCAACTTGGACCTTCAACCCTTTGATCCCCACTGAAGTCCATTGTATAGAGAAAAATCTTGAAATGTTTTCCTCAAAAATTTTGACTGAAGAAAGAAAGACACGAACATCTTGGATGACATGGGGGTGAGTAAATTATCATGAGATTATTATTCTGGAAGTGAATTAATCCTTTAAGCAAGACTATCACTAGTCAGACTCAACTCAAGTCATGTGATCGAGTCCCCCACCTTTGTTAATAGTTGATTTTAAAAGTTAAAATTGACCCATAGCATTAAAAAGGGGTTACACAAATATGACAAATGCATCCATGTTGTAGATAGACTGCTATCACTGCTGTCTCTGGAGGAATGCTGCTGCTGGTCAACATTAAACAATCACTGTAACACTCACTATACTAACAGAAATCATGACATCCAAAGAAACAATATGTATTAATTTTCAAATTACAGAAAATTTGAATGAAACCATTATAAATATTACATCTGTTCATACCTCACTTTCAAACTGTACCCCTGTAAAATGTTTTTCACACTATTGAGAAACTACTCAACCACATCTTTATATTACCTTGTCTTTATTGTTTTTTTTTCTGTAAATTCTTTCCAGTTGTTATATTAGAGAGGTTGTTCAGAATCGTGTGGGTAGAGTGAATTTAAATTCATTGTTTAGCTTTTGTTTGGGTGGTGAGTTAAAATCTCTATATTACTGATCCTGCTGTGAGAGAGAAAAGCAGAGCTCATACAAACACACAAGGATGTTGTTGTTTTCTGCATGTCACAGAAACAGACGCTCACCCTAAAGCTTAAACACAATCTCAGAGATCATTAATGTTCTTCACTGTCTGCAGGCTGAGTAACTGCAGTATTAGAGAGAAAGGCTGTGCTGCTCTGATTTCAGCTCTGAGATCAAACCCCGCACACCTGACAGAACTGAATCTGAGCTATAATAAACCAGGAGATTCAGGAGTGAAGCTGCTCTCTGCTCTACTGGAGGATCCACTCTGTAAACTGGAGAAACTACAGTGAGTGTTATCATGTTATTGAATAATAATTATAATTTCATGTGAAAGGGATTGTTCACATGAAATTACAATTCTGTCATCAGTTGCTTAAAGTCATTCCAAAACAGTATGATTGTCTTCTGTGGAACATCAAAGATATTTTGAGAAGTGTTTCTGTTTATTTATTTATTTACTTCTATTGAAATAAATTGAATTCTATTGAAAGTAAAAGTGACATGACGTGTGGCTAAGAATGATGTCCCATACTTGGAATTTGTGCTCTGCATTTAACCTATCCAAGTGCACACACACAGCAATGAGTAGTGAACACACACACGTCAAGTCAACTCAAGTCACCTTTATTAATATAGCTGTATAGGCCATAAAGTTCAAACCCTATTTGCTTATTTTATGTTTCATAATAGTATTTTTTAGCAGGTTTACAGTATTAAACAGGAAAGTAGTGTATCGATAATGCAAGAGGATAATAGTAAACAGTCCATTTTTCAGTTAAAGTCAGTTCATCATTGATTCAGTGATGTCATCGTCCAGCTCAGTTCAGTTCAAATAGTATCTGTGCAATCAAGTCGACAATACTGCCAGAAATTAAGTGTCCCCAACTAAGCAAGCCAAAGGTGACAGTGGCAAGGAACCAAAACTCCATTGGTGACAGAAATTTAGAAAAAAACCTAATGTAGAGAAATGTAGAGAAACCAGGCTCAGTCAGGCAGGCTAGTTCTCCTTTGACCAGACGAAACTAGCATGGTGTGGTTTAATTCCAGGCTGCAACAGGTCAGATTGAGCAGAGGACTCGTCTGGTTCTCGTGATCTTGTGCCGATGGTCGTCAAGGTGACGAGGTCTTCACTGGGGATCTATCTCTGGGGCACATCTAGTTGATTTGGTCTCCGCTGACGTTCAGGGCTGTAGAGGTCGTCTCTAGGTACTGATCCACCATCTGATCTGGATACAGACTGCATTCGTATGACCTCGGAATAAGAATGAAAGAGACTAATATTAGCATAGATGCCGTTCTTCTTATGATGCAGCGATTACATCGGGTGTTATGGGAAGTGTTCCCGGTTCCGGTTGACCTAATTAATGCAGCCTAACAATACTTTAACAGATTTGAATTATAGAAATGTTATCGGGTGTTATGTGTACGCCAGGTTAAAGAGATAGGTCTTTAATCTAGATTTAAACTGACAGGTGTGTCTGCCTCCTGAACAATGTTGGGTAGATTGTACCAGAGTTTGGGCGCTAAATAGCAAAAAAGGATCTGCTGCACACACACACACACACACACACACTGTGAATATACCCAGAGCAGTCGGCAGCTTTTTGCTCCAGTGCCAGGGGAGCAACTGGAACATTCTGTTCCGCAGTAGGTAGAAGGTCATACGGATTTGGAAAAACATATAAATAATGACCATATTAATTTTTGGGTGAACTATCCCTTTAAGGAATGAAATGTAAATGGTCCAATACAAAGATTATACTGAATGTGCCCAAGGCAAATGTATGTTAGTACAGTATATACATATAAAGACCACTGGAAAACAATCAAAGTATATAAGTGTAAGCCAAAATGAAACATAGAGATAAATAATTACTGTGACAAAGTTCGGAATATGGAAGGAAGAGGGCAGTGTCAGTTTATGGAGACTTGTGCGTTTATTCAACAAAAATCAGAGATACACAACAAAAGTCGTGCTTTCTGCACTTCCAAACAGTCACAGATGACTCAATCACTTTGTTTCTTGGAGTTAGACAACATTCAGTCTTGGGAAGCCCACAACAGATCTCCATTCCATCTCTCTCTCCCATTTCCTGTTCTCCAGTCGCTCTTTATCTGGTCTCTCCACACCAATTATTGCAATTAGACACAGGTGTTCATCATTTTGCACTTGACCTACTTACTCACCGCTCGTCTCCTGACTCACGCCCCCGTCACCACATACCCCCACCATCCAACTCAGGCCGGGGAGTCATCCGGCCTGCCCCCCCCGCCCCTTCCTGGAGAGAAAGTCGGCCACAGCCATCTGCGGGTGATCCATGCGTTGGTATCTTTCATGCGGTGGAGCCACTGGAGTGGCATGTGGTCCGAACAGAGAGTGCATTCCGATCCCAGGAGATAATAGCGGATGGTGAGAACGGCTTACCTCCTTTTTGGTCTTGGGTCTCGGACAGGTCACAACTGCTGCCGTCTTATTAATTTGGGGTAGAAACTGTCCATGACCCAAGTGGAAGCCCAGAGACCTGACCTCCACATGCCCAATAAAGCAATTACCCATCAAATCAAGCAATTTGTCAACCCACGGCATTGGATAGGTGTTGAATTTTGACACCGCATTCACTTTGCGATAATTCACAGAGAACCGTACGGAGCCGTCCGTTTTAGGTACTAAAATCAGGCTCGCCCAATCACTGTGGGATTCTTCTATTACCCCCATCCCTAACATTACCTCTAATTCAGACTGAACCACCTTTTTTTGTGTTCATGTAAATGATATGGCCGGATATTGTTATTGTTTATTTATTTGATAGGGACAATGCATGTTAATTAACATTTGTAGTAATACAGAATGTAAACAAGCCGGATTATAGCAACATTGCTAATTTACATCTGCAGTCCCTAGGCAGGTACACACAAGGACACAGACTCAAATACACATACAACAGCACATAAAAGACATTTTAAAATTTCTAAGTAAAATGTTTACACAACTGATTCGTCATAAGCCAGTTTTTGAAATGATCTTTAAAGGTATGATAAGTAGAACATTGTCTTATTGACTGCGGTAAGCTATTCCAATATTTACTCCCTATTACAGATAATACTTTCTGTCCAAAAGATGTTCGCCTATATGGCA